TGTTAATAATTTATCTGATAAACTAGTTCATCTCTAACTATGAGAGTAACATGGTGTTATACAGTAGAACTTCAGTTTTCATGATCTATGTTCCAAAAATTTGGTCAAAAACCTAATGCACAAAAGCTGAAGTAATATTTCCCATAAGAAATAATGTAGTCTGATTAATGAATTCCTAGCACCCCAAAATATTTATAAAAGAACCCTTTTTTTATGATCATTCTTTCATAGCAGGGCTGGTACTAGGAATTTTCTTTGGTCCCAAGGGACTTATTTAGCATCCACTCTCAATATAAAAGGCTATATTAAAAATTTACTGGAAAAATGCATGAGGCTCACTCAACAAGAAAACAGACTGAATTATGATCACATGGAATACTCTGTTTGGGTGAAAATTAGTGGACAATTCAAGAGAGCAGGTGAATGACTTTAGTAAGGACCATTTTTAACTGTACAAAAAATGGGACAAAAATTAGACATAGTCATGACAATTTCAACCTGCTAAGAACAAAAGCATTCAAAAACTACGACATGATAACTGAGGTCTGACAGTATTTACCAGTTGTCAGAATGATTGTCATTTTGCAAAGTATTGATTGTTTGGTTGACAGGTATGTGGTAAATAGATTTTCATTTTTGAAGGTGTAATGCATTATATCTAAAATTTTAAATCTGTAAATTTTAGAAAATTCTCAATTTCATTGACCCTAGTGTGTTTGCGGATGAACTATGCCTTCGCAATTGCCTTATTGTAGAAATTACAATCAGTATCCCATAAGAACATACAGGGTTTTTAAACTTCAAATTAATTTTTCTAACAAACCAGAGAATATCACTAGGTCATGTGATGCATACCATTTAATCCTGAAAATTGCTTCATTACATCAACTTCTGAATTTATTTTACAATAAATCTATAAATTAAGTATATTAATATGATAAATAATAAAAGATTTGAAAGTTAACTTGACAGACAGTTGACCTTTAAACTGTATAAAAAAGAGTTAATCAGTAAATAAGTCAATAGGTACAATGAGATTTTGTGTAGGTTACAGAACTAGAATGACATTGAAAGTTTTGGGAGATCTAAAATTGAATATGCAGAAATTCTTTAGAAGTCAGTATCAATTAAGAATAAACGTGTCAAAGGCATTTTGCAAGATTTTAAATTTATTAAATGAAGTTTGGAAAATACGAGAAAAATCCATAAAATACCTGTTAGTAATTATACAAGTAATCATAATATTACCAATTGTTCTTTCTTCTATTTCTTTTTCTGAACTTCACTGTAATATTAATAGCAGATGGCATTCACTTCTATATTCAAGTCTGACACCAAATAGATGTGTTGAATTAGAGTTGCTACAAGTTCATACACATTTCAACGATTTTCTTTAGATGAATTACACTACCCTGCAAGGTTTTTGTGGTAAAAAATTGAACAAGTTATGAAGCCTGATTTTGGTGGCAATATTCAAATCTGCAAACAGTTTGTAGAAATACCATGGCAGTATTATCAAAATGCAGATTGACATTACTGATTTTATTTTTTAAAAAATCATTTTTAAACAACTGCAACATTGTGGAACCTAATCAAACAACTCAACTCTTACATTTGAAACTTTATAATAGATTTTCAAAAATCCAAGCACATTACAAAATGTATTTTCATCTCATTGTTCCATTCCAACACCATGAAGTTGTCAAGGCATGTAGATGGATATAGCTTGTTTCTCCCAGCAGAACCAAGATTTAGTTATAAAATAACATAACTGTTATTCTTATTGGCAAAAATAATGGTAAACATAAAGATTTCCTTAATCATGTCAAACCATTACAATACAAAATATATGGATGGCCAGATACCACTCATCAGACTTGATACGAACAAACGGTTTGCAAACTAAATTTAGCACACCAATAGTGACTTTAAAAAACCAATTCATTTTCATACTGCAAAAAAAAAGTTAATTCTGCAGATCTGCTGTGTTATTCTTCTGATGATCTCTTCTTTAATGATATTAAGCTCATAATTACAACATTGCCTAGATTTATTTCTGGTACATATGCAAGCAAATTTGGTGTTAATTTTTATATACCTATAATGTTGTAATGATAACATTATGACTACTGGATTTTGAAATAAATACACAGCTGTTTTTTTTTTAAACAAGCTTGTTGAGACTTAAGAAAGTGTTCAAGTTACGGTTTTTCCCACCAAGATGGGCCTTTTTGATTTACTGTAACACCATCACAATTACAAACCTGTACACTAGCCATTCTTTTCAGATAATGCAATCCTTGTGCACCTTGTGTATACTATAGAGACAGACACAGACTTCGCACACAGATATCTCAACTTATTGTAGAAACATATTAAAGAACGTCAGCCATGTCCTACAGCATGACACTGGTTTTAGTTGTACAATGGCATTTTTTCTATTGAATTCATAAGCTCCACATGTTTCATCTCTTGTACAAATCTGTCAGAGAACTGACATAGTTTCAACCAGAGTGAACAATGGAATTTAGACAAATTACAAAATAATCACTGGACTTATTATCCCTTATCCACATCCATTCTTGAAAGACTAGCTAAACCAATTCACTTTCTTCAGTAACATTTGTCAAAATTCAGTGCAGCAGGTTTTCTGCAGAACAAACTAATATCAAGTTTGAGTTTCTTGTTTGTTAACCTTACAACACATCCAAATTATTTTGTCAAGCAGAGTGTTGTAGAGGGTCCTGAAGGCAATTAAATATTACTCTCATTGATGATGTGTACTGTAGAAAAACCTCCAAAGGCAATTATGTTAGTGATACAGAGAGGAGATTTAGGGTCCATACACAAAACACATACATGTACTTCACATCCATTTAATTTAGTCACATAAAAAACACAAATAACATTGATGTACTCTACTGAATTACCTATGGACCAAAGCATGGTTCTCTGTACAAAGACAATGACATACTAGCTATTAATAAATCCTAGGCCATAACACAACCGATAATGACTCTGGTTTCAGGTATGCATAATTACTCTTGACAGATTCTATCATTTGCAGACCATTCCATTCTCCTGGTCAGCTGTGCAGGCAGTGTAGTGTAACATCATGAAGTGCCCGCTGGACCTCACAGGTCGGGAGGCTGGCGAGGGGCAGGGGTTGGCCATCTGGCGGCTACCAAGCATGGAAGGTGAAGGCTGGGGCGTGTTGTCAGAATGTGGGTATCAAAGCGGGGCGATATGTGACGATAGTCGTGTCTGACAGTGGTGGTGGGGGGCCCAAAATTTGGTAATGAGGCGACCCGGGCTACTGGGAGACTTCATGGAGGTCAGTCACAGCCGGCATTTGAGTTTGAACCGAATCATGATGCGGAAAGCACTTGTCACCCACCAGGGGTTATTGCTAGCTTCCGCTGCAAGGAGTGGCTATTCGCCATGGGACGGAAGGCAAGGAGTGGCGATAAAATTAGTCGCTGCGGTCTGCGTCAGGCTGGAGAGGGATGTCTCAGCAAAGAGCAGTGCTGGGAGTACAGCTCTAGTACCTTAGGAATGAAATTATTGTATAGAAACAATATAAATAAATCTGTACATAACAACACTGTATCTGTGTTTCACACGCACCCCAAGGACATCATAATATTGTGTCCTTTGCCAAGCCATCAACAGCCCTTGTGGGTTCCATCACTTTTGTCTGGTCATTGCCACACAAATAGGACGATTGCATTGTTTGGGATTATTGCGTCAGCATATCACAAAGAATACCCCTAGTTTAACTGTTGGGCCAAGTTGCCCTAACATGTGTATCTCATGTTCATTTCGGTTACTGAACCTTGATATTACTAATCACTGACAGGCTTTGGTTATGAAAACTTCTCTACTCTAGTAATGGAGTGGTAGACTTCACTGCTCTGGAATGGTAGAAGCCTCAATGAAACTCAAACAATAGTTATGATAGTATCCATAATTGGAACAATTACCAACATTGAAATTACAAGTCCCAAATCCATTGGTGGCAAGCCTTAGACTTCGCGTTTTGAAAGTATGTTCACAAAATATGAACTACAAGTCAGTTTTTCTGAAACGTGCAAGAAGTATATTGTTTGAATTTGTTTTTTTTTTTTTGTATTTGCATATTGATAACATTTGAATGGTTTTGTTTTTGTTGTTGTTGTTGTTTGTTGTTTGCATGCATTTTCGTATTTTCTATGAAGTTTTTTAGAAGGTAAATTTTTATTAATAAATGTAATGTGTGAGTTACTATTTTTTGTTTGTTATATTGTAAAATTATGGACAAATTGCCTACTAATTTGCAATTAGCCTAAAAACAAGAGCTCAAAGAGTGTGCCTCCTCCCCAAAAATATATATGTACAAAAATATATTTACTCCAAAAACTTCTGGTAGGCATGCCTCCACCCTAAAGTACAATCACTTTCGCTCTTTGCAAGTACTCTGCTAAATAATTTACTGGGCTTTTATTTTGAATTCACAGAGCAAAATATGTATTTTAGTGAGGACATGGCCTTTACCAATTACAATCTGTTACCAGGCTGTAAAATTTCCCAGAAGTTTCGAGTTTATGGAGGTGATTGCATACCCGATTTTCAGATGTTGTTAACTTGTGTGGTGACCAATAATTGATATGGGAGGTACCCCCACCCGATACCCAGCCACCTGGACTTTTCATAGGGGCACTTGACAGTACACTCAGTGCCATGAAATGTCAGTCTTCCACAGTCACAAAGAACAAAAGCACATTTATCCCCATCATAACTCAGCTTTCTCCGCCTTTTTCCTTACTCTCAACTGTTGCGTGCAACCATCCTATCACTATGCGGGGTCTTTATGTGGGAATTGCATCTATGAGCCACATGTTTTCTCAATCCATTATTCACAAGCTCTGCTGTTTTGTCAATACATACACTCGTTAATTGAGAAAATATGACCCGCAAAAATATTATTATGGAAAATGTACAGGTTATCAATAAAAGAGATATATAAGTCACAATATAAATATATTTTCTTATTATTTCAACTTCACAAAACAATATTATTTTTTAAATTACTCAAGTGTTGTTTGAATCACTGAGAGTCTTTTAGATTTATAACGAATAAAACGAGGTAGATTGGTGTTCACTGTCGTAACAAGAGCATAATGATCTCCCAATTTTTTTCTGTTCATCTTTACCTGGAACAAAATGGCAATGTGCAATTATAATGACTAAACATAAACAAGATTTAAATACAAATAAGTAAACTATTCAATGCATAAACAACTCTTAATACTGACCCTGCGCTTAAAAGCAGGTAATACTGTCTGAAGATGTATAGTAAGAGCGAGTTCAGCAGCTGCTCTATCAGTTTCATCTTCTCCAAACAAATCCATAATAGAATCCAACATCTCTGCCATGACCCACAGTTCAAGTTCATGGGCCAAACCATTCAACAGAAATTTGCCTACACCCTAAAATCAGACAATTTAATTGTTCAGACAATTTGTTTAAAAATCAATACATTCATTACACATACCTCTTTTCATCTTAGCAAACATCACACATACTTGAATTTATATAACTGATTTCTATAACAATTACATACCAGATTCACAATTTGCTTTAAGGAAAATGACAACAATACAAACATTCTTTGTATTCACAAACATTTTACAACTGAATTCATAAGCAGTTAAACACAACTACAAAAGTTTTGAGATACATAAATACTAAGAAACTTGAAATAATTTTGATAACTATATTTTCTCAAAATACTTGCCACAACATTTTATACATTTTTGCATTCTTGTAAACCAAATTTTCGAAAGAGTTTTTCCACTCCTTTTCTTCGAATGTTAAAAGTTCACTTTTGTAGGAATCAACAGGACTTGAGAACCTCCTCCCTCGCATGCAACATTAGATAGTAGGAACAGAAAATAATCACATGGAGCCAGGTCAGGACTATACGGTGGAGGAGTCAGTAGTTTAACATCTGTTGAGTCCAGCGAGTATTGTGAGGTTGACTGTGTGTGCAAATGCATTGTCATGGCAGAGGACCATCCCCCACGGTCCTGTCTACACATGTGTACCAAAGTGCAGTATCAGATCTTCGTTCTTCCAGTTGTGACATGACCACATGAGAACAATGTTGCAACCATTTTCTTTCTGAAGCAAGGCCACTTAACTTTTGTTGGTGGATGTTCTTCATGAAGTATCTATAGCAGTAGACTGGTGCTTATTTTCAGGATCAAACTGACAAATCCAAGTTTCGTCACCAGTAACATGTTAGAAATACACTCAGATTGGCTCTTTTAAATCTTTTCAATATTTCTTCACACTATTTCACATGGATGCACTTCTGTGATTCTGTCAAAGTGAGAGGCACCCATCGAGATTCATCTTTCCTGACTCGAAAATATTCGTGCAGGATTTTGAAAACTGCCGGCTATCCAATCTGCAGAGATCCGTATTGTTTTTAATGCAGCAAATTTTCCACAGCAACAATATTTTATTCAGTCACTGCAGACGAATGATGCCCATACCACTCCTTGTCTTTCAACAAAGTTCTACCTCCTCTGAATTCTAGAAACAACCGAAAAGTTGTTGCACAGGAAGTGGCAAGATCCCCGAAGACCAGCTGCAATTGATCAATGCTTTCAAATTTGTTTAAACCACTTTTAAAGTCATAAAGAATCATTGCAGGAAAGTACTCTCTTGTTGTCTCCATTCTGACATTCTGTTCCGCTTCAACAAAAAGAAAGGTAGGACTCTTAGCAACAGCAATAAGCTGAGCAAGTTCTAACTTGCATGTATTAGTCAGAAAGGACACTGCAATTGATTCCCATTTTTGGGAAAGTAATAATGGACTGCAACACAGTATATCTCAAAACTTCCGTACTGACCCTTCTGTATTTAAAAATAATTCTACTGGCAATGATTGCAGATATTATGAGAATTATCTGCATGTTTGCTTTATTGAAAATAAATAAATAATAATATTAATAAAAACAGAAACAAATAATAATTCAAATTATGAAAATCAGGGTCCTGGAAATTACAATATCTAATTGAGATATGATGAATAATGAGACACTGAATATCTCTTTGGGAAAAGGTTTTCATTTTTGAGAAAAACCAATTTAAATAATATAAAATTAATTTAGTATATTAACAAGATCAAAAACACTTTTAAACATTCACTATTTTATATCTCTTGAGTCACAGTGCAAGAATTACAGCTGTTCAAAATTTAGAGATTAAAAAAAAAAAAAAAAAAAAAAAAAAAAAAAAAAAAAAAAAAAAAAAAAAAAATTAAATGTTTGGAACAAAAGATTTCTTTTACATTAATAACTTCATTTAGCCTTTATGCATAATAGTTAATATGAGTTGGTGAAAGTAATAATTTTCTTTTTTGCTAGTTGGAAAGGTGGGGAAAGTCACGCTAGCAAACTAGGCTTAAACTTAACTAGCTGCAGCGATCGGCTTCGACGATATTGTGCAAATAACCCGCAACAGGAATGGTGGCTAATATAATCTAATTCAGTAAAACTTGCTCAATGCGGGTCATGTATTGTGATAAGCCAAAAGACCACCCCTCTTTTCAATACAAATAAATTAATATAATATTCATTACAATTTATTTATGGTTAAAGGATTTCAATCAGGAATATGTAGACAGGTTGGCATAGTATAGGAATATAAATAAACTGCAGACCCGTGAACTATAAATGTATGAACACCATAATTCTAGATAGGCAAATCGCAATGTAAATAGAAAAATTTGGTTACAGGTGCTATAGTCATAACTAGAGAATTGTGAATCTTCTCTTTACGTCCATAGCTGTTGAGCGGGTCTCATCATAGTGAGGTAGCCTATATGTTGGTCTTAGTGTCAGATGGGAACAGATTAGCAGATGTTAATTTAGTTGTATTAGGAACAATTCAACGATATGTTCACAAGGGGAGTAATATTGTTGATTTCTATTTTGGAAAGTATTAGAATGATGTTAAATATTACACTGATAATTTTAAGAAGTTCAATATTTGTACAGTGGATGGAATAGCTGATTCACAAAAATTTTTATATCAGGAATAATATCATTAGTTAATAAAATAGCAATGGAATTAATTTATTTATGTTAAGGAAGTAACCAGGTTAAGGCACCCACATGTGATGACTGAGTAGGAAAGTACATTTCATATAGAATGTTCTGATTAAACACTATTCAATCAATTTGTTTAGAAACTAAATATTACTATGTATTAGAATTATCCAATGATAATTCTTGGGTAGAAAACACCTTAGACAATGTAGGGAAAACTAGGTGATTGACATTCAATGAGAGAAGATGTCGAGGAAGTCTTGGACATTCTACAACGGTATGGAATCGTCCAAGAAGGGGGAAGAGCTCATGAAGTCATTGTTTATAAGCAGCAAAGAACGATTTTAATCAAATTAAGAAAGAAAAAAACTTAACAATTCAAAAGTAATGATTTAATTGGAATTTCACAAAAGAACTCATTGTTATTAAACACAAAATGAACTGATGTAAAAATGATCCCAAAGTCTACTAGGTTCAGTTACTAAGTTCAATGAAATAAATGATATATTCCTTTATTTGAAATAAGGCTGTTTATTTAGTAGTGAATTGCAATCAATCTAAACATTTTTTTATCCAGCACATATTTGCAGAATTTGTCAATTCGTATATAACCGGCCTGCCAACAGACGACAACATAAGAAGTAATTAACCATATATCGATACCCATGAATCAGGATATGTAGAACATCAAATACAATTGGATACTAGCCAGCATAGTAATAATATTTGTAATAAGAAAGGATTATTACATTATTGATTTTACATATGCGCAAAGCAGGGTAATTATAACTAAAATATATATTTTTCTTTTCGAAAACACAAAATCAAGAAATAAATATTATAAATTACTTATATTATGCATGTTGCAAGAATTTTAAACGTAATAAGAAATGTCGCAAATGACGCTGCAACACATTGCAAATGACAGAATATTTTGGGAAATTTATACAGATTGATTCGCAATAATCAGCCGATAGAATTGAGGAATTGCCAGCTATCTTGTTTCCAGATCATTAATAATTCCTAGTTTTGATAAGGTAAAACTACACTATTTTCACTGTGCATTAGAAATAATGGAAAGTCTCGAAATATGGAGATTTGTAGCAAAAATACCAATATGAAATTGCTGAAATTAATAATGACAAGGAAACTATTTTTGCGTCTGGTGGGGAGAAGATTCAAGGGGATATCGGTAGTCATACTAATTTGAGGCCGAATTGAATATAAATCCTGAAACAGAGCCAGTACATCATAAAGAATTACAGAGGTAGTCACCAGCAAAAGAGGATGCATCCAATTTTGCGTGAATAGTAAGTATAATTATTGACGTACGATATTTGTACAACATATCAAGGGAATTTTATGAACTTATTAATATTTCTTGATACCACTTCGGATATTTCTGTAATGATTCTCCAAACTGAGGGCTGACTTATTACAGAGAAATCCGCACATACCAATGACAAAAAATAATAAAATAAAATACAATTTTTTTTTTCATATTAAACATTGTGATTATAATTGTAGAATAACCTATAAAACATGGTGCTAGTAGGATAACGTACAAAATACAGCTCGGTGGATTGCAATTGAAAGCAATAAATTAGTACAATCTTTGCGCCATTAGCATTTTGAGGACTGGTGGTAATGGTAATCCTCTATACCTCTAGGTCACACATTGTGATTGAACAGGGGCTAATTTTACAACCGTATCCTTGTTAAAACGATATCTCTTTTTAAATTCTTTTCAACTGTGCATTTCCAAATAATTTCCCATGTCTCTCAAATATATTTTGTTATACTATCTTGCATATTGATTTCAATACTTCCAATAACTCATAAAAATCATTTAAGGAAATTCTATATTTAAAAATAAGTGCTCACTTAAGAGTGCAGATAAGCTCACTTATAAGAATAAGTGAAAGCTTACTCAAACACCTAAGTGACGACTATGAATTGAAAATGTGAATAAGTAAACACTGAAGTGTTCCTCAGATATGTTTTGACTATGAATACGGCCTTAAATGTTTTATTTATCACTACATATCACATCACAAAACAATTTATCACATTTGACCGCTCCTGAAACTGTACAAAACAAAAGAAATCGCACTATACACTTAACAAGTCAGAACAAGTTTTGAAAAGTAATGCCAAAAGAGCGGCACGCCTACAGGATGAAATCTCAAATATTAAACATGTGTCATATTTTTTTACAAATTACACCCAGACTGGTCTGTCACTTTTCTATATCAATGACAATTAGTGAAAAAATGACTGTGTAAAACAGACTTACGAAGCAGACACTGAAAAGAAATGTCCGAGGTGAGTCATTGGCATGACACCGCCCATAGGATAAGAGGCGCTGCGGGCACCAGGATGAATACATCCAGGTAACCTAATACAAGTACATGGCAACCTGATATACCATACTCCGAACTTTCATTGCTGAATACGAGAGCGCACGGTCGCAAGTGGCGCCCGCTCCTCGAGCTCACACGCTGCACACGTCCGTAGAGTCTTGGGCGCTACCACGGGCTTTCGTTGCCGCTGCGTGAGCGCTCCGCCGCCTTTGATCGAACGAGAAAGAGCACCACAAGTGTGAGCGCCTAGGAGTCCGCCCTAAACTATATTTAAGACAATGAAGATCTCGCGAACTTAAGCTGTGTGTTTTATTTACACACTGACGGCGTTTCGCCGCCATCTCCGCATGCTTCCACGCTAGAATTATACCTGCGGTGACTGGGCGAGACAACGAGACGCCTTTTGATGACGCCAGCCGCTGCCGTCGTTCGCGATCTACCTGCGCCTGACCCACCAACAGGTAATTCTAAGCGTCGGAAACCATCAATCACGCAGCCGAGATGGATGGTCGAAAGGCCACTGCACCATCAAAAGAACTGAAATTTAAGTATAACACAGTCCATAAGTGACCAAGCGATCATCTCATCGTGCATTGTTATCATCCCCATCTCTCTCTCTATATTTTATTTCAATTCAGTAAATCAATATTTTACAGCATGGTATGATTAAACAGAAGTGAGATTCCAAAATGTCTGCCTCCACAAAATTTCAGAATAGCCGGGCGAAGTGCATCAAAACAGGGAGGCATGTTTAGGCGTTGGATCGCCCACGACTGATACCTTGCACGTAGCGGGTATTTTATAATATTGTCGCTCATACTAGGCGCGGGGCCCTACAATCACTTGGCGTGGGAATGTTATAGAATTACCTCTGATCGACAATTGCCCTTGAAACTGCACCTACTTCAACTAGTTCTCAGAATACATAGGATCTTAGGATTTGCTTCTAGCTGGTGAAGAGAATTAACTCCATCTCTGTAATTAACACGCCTTTTTTCTGTAGTTCACTCAAAGTTGGGGTATGATATGGAGATTGGGTCTCCTAAGGGTAAGGAGCTTGAGGCTGCACGGGGAAAATATCAAAGATTTGTTAAGTACCTTGAGTACAGGGACAAGCTTTCTCATCCACCATGGGGATGAATGGAGATGGTGATGAAGCTCTTAATTCAAATTTTATATTCAATTTTTGGCTAAACATAGGCAAGTTTCTACAATAATTTTGCTTCTTAAAATTATGACAAATATAATTGACTGTCCCTCTACTCACTGTTGTTCACCATGTCCCGCATACTATGAGGCTACAATACAATACTGAGGAAATGTAGATAGATGTTTTAGACATTGAACTTTGTATAAAATGTGTACAAAAATGTTATTGTAAGGAAGGGAGATTGACATATTTTCTGATTCGATTAAAAATGTATATAATATTTATGCATTATTGCCTAGATAATCGAGTCAAACAACTGTAACACAAATAAGATAATAAAAGGGTCTTTTTTGTTTGTTTGTTTGTTTGTTTGTTTTGTAGTTATCCCTTAACTATACACACAGTCCAGTTACATTAATGTGGCCACCCGTCAAAATCTTGAATAACTCGCTTTAGTAGCTCAGACCGCTGCGAGATGTGCAGGAAGAGTGCCGAGTAGGTTCTAGATGGCGCTGACAGAAAATTAGAATCATGCCGATTGCAGTTGCCGGCCAGCGGAGCTAGGTTCCTCGGATGCGGATCCATGGCGCGAATAGCCCGATCCAGGTGGTCACACAGATTCTCAATCGAGTTTGAGTGGGGGGGAGTTTTGGTTGCCAGGGGAGTACTGTAAACTTTGTTGCGGTACTCTTCGAACCAAGCACGAACATTGCGAGCTGTATGACACATTACATTGCCCAGCTGGTAGATGCCGTGTTGCTGAGGAAAAAAACGATCTTCATATAGGGGTGGAAATGGTCTCCAAGAATGGTCACATACATGTGATCCATTGTGCTTTCCAGAAAGACGAGATCACCCAGGGAATGCCTCGAAAACTTTTCCCACGCCCTCCAGGACCCGTCCGGCGATTGTTGCACGGTGTTTGCATTCAGACGTTTCACGCCAAAAACCATCTGTCCAATCGAGTAGAAAACGTGATTCATCTGAAAAGGCCACCGGTTGCCACTCCGTGGACGTCCAGTTGCGGAATTGGCATGCGAAATCCAGAATCCGTCGCTGATGAGCAGACAGCACATGTCAAGGGTGCGTGAACATAGCGTCGGCTGCGGAGGAGCCCATACGCAGCAACGTTCGCTGGACGATTGTTGAGGAGACCCTGTTGGTGGCCTCTTCGTTCATCTGGGCAGTCACTTCTTCCACAGTTGTATAATTATCCGACCGTACACATTTCCACAGCCGTCATCTATCTCCCCTGTCATCTGCGGCCGGTAGTGAACCACAGTTGCCTCGGCGCTTATTTTGGAAATCGACATTTTGTCATGCACGGCATACTTCAACCACGTCGGCACGAGAACATTTCCCACATTTTGTAGTTTCGGAAATGCTTCCGCTCTTGGCCGAAAGCCAATGATAATGCCCTTTTGCAGGTCCGATAAATCGCCCCATTTCTGCATTGCGACAACTACAGCACTGTTTTTCGTTTCCACCCGTCACACTGTGTACGTATACCCTCCACTGTTAGTGCTGCCACTTGCCATGGTGAGGGATTATTGCACGTTTACTTTCAACATAGGCGGTGGTAACATTAATGTGACTGAACTGTGTATAAAAATAATTAAATAAATAAGCTCACAATTATGTATTGCCACACTAGAATGTTTTACGTTAATTGCAAGACCACAGCTTCTTCACCAACTACGACACACGTGGCAAAATGTCAACTACGCCCGAGAAGTATTAGGTCATTAAGAGGCAATCCCGCTCGCGGGTAGTTTCGCAGTTCCTATTAACACCTTTCCATTCAACAAATAACGCAATTATTATTTTGACAAACTCATATTTCTTATTAAGCATTAGTACATCAGGCAATGCTTCGCTATTGCAGTGTATTACACTTCACATCCAGCTGGTCACGGGGGTGTTAATAACGTTTTACGCTATGCTCCGGAAATATTTACATACGTGATAGAGTGTTTGTTCTTATGAACAAACCTTTACTCTTTCGTCTATTAAAATTCAGTTCATGTCCCTTTTTGGGCATGGTTGTCAAGTATCCTATTGTTAAAACGTTCTCCCTTAAGTTCGGGCATGCATTCGCTATGACACTGTCTTGAAAAAATTCGATTTACTTTTCGAGATAATGTCGAAGTAATCATTTCGGCCGATATTGGAAATCTAAGGGACAGATATGCAGCGAGGGCAAGCTTCATAGTTAAACGTGCGGCGGATTGCGTAGAGCTTCTGTCCATGGGCGCTTGTGTTATAAACGCACAAAGGCTTCCACAGGCCAGCATGGAAGATCCGCAGCACGTGCGGTGCGGAAGTTACTAGTCGCGGCGACGAAATCCACGGGACCATTCATACCACAGCGTCAACTATGACAGCGTTTGATGACAGTTTTCCTCATCCGATAAACAAAGGCAAGGGGAGCGGAGACTTGCACGAAACTCGAGCGGCAGCGGACAAAACGCGTCCGTCTTTGTTACAACATTCGCTGCAGATTAAACGGCGCCAATCCGCTGGCGCGTGCGGGCATTCCGCGCCAGTCTGTGGGAACCTTAAATCATTATCAACAAGTCCCCCAGTTTGCGTCAATGTGCGACAGACATATGCACGTTCCCATTGTACTACGCCTATAACCTACGCGCAAGTGCAAGCATGAAGTTGACAAAGTTTCATCGCAATCGGATGAAAGGTAAGACAGCCCATAAAATACAAACAAACATTGATTTTTATGTATTAGATAAAGGCTAGAAAAAATAATTAAATTTTGAAGATAATTTGAAGTAAATCACTTCGTTAAGTTACTAGGCGTAAAGGCTAAGTGAAATGATTAATGCTGCTGTATTAAAAGCTTTGGCCGATCCGGTGGCCGAGATCGCTAAGGCAGTAGTGCCGTAGCGATCTCGTACCGAAATATCGCGGGTTTGAGTCCCGCCTCGGGCATGGTTGTATTGTGTTCGTCCTTTCACCCCCTATCATCCATCATCCTCCATCTCTCATTATCACCTTTCTGAATAACATTCAGAATTGTAACTCGAGGATTTATCCTCACCTCAAGGTGATACCTTCGACAGTCGACCATGAACAGTAAAAACTGAAGTGGAACGACTCAAGTGGTCCAATGTGGCCTATCAAGTTAATAATAATAATAGCTTTGACCAAATTCAGTCGCCATTTTTGATAACGCAGTGCAATTTTAATTTAAAAAAATATGCACTCTATATTGCTCTTTGCTATTCATTTCGAAAGATACGAAATTGCATCCCCCCCCCAGAGGTATTATATGTCAATGCAAAGAGATGTTTAATATAAGACACCATCCAGTATTTTAAACATCAAAAAGGTACACTAATGACAAATATAATAAAAACAAGATTTGTCTTACATTCTGCAAGGTTGAGATAAATTAATTTAAAGAAATTTAAATAAGACACAATACCTTGATGATTTCAAAATTCTTTTCCAATGGTTGAGACAATGTCATCATTCCAAGCATACCAACTGTCCTCACAACATTTGCTCGTACACATGGTTTTGGATTTGGGGCAGCAGTAAAAATAAACTGAAATAAATACACCCAAATTAAACACACTGCCAGATGTCATAACATGCAGAGCAGATACTTAATGATATTCTTATACATCAAATAATTTTGGTTCTCACATATCACATTAAAAGTTCTATCAGTAACTATCTAGTTCTATAGGGGAAAGAAATCTTTCATTCTCTTTAAACAGGAATCTCTCCTTGAGAATCAATTTTAGCCATTCTTTCTACACACTCAGCAGCGCTTCAGATATACAAGGTAACTCAATGTGAATTCAAACATCTTTTAAGATATTTTGAACATACAAAGCCTAAGCAGAACTTCTAAGTATCCCAGCTTCAATAGCAGGAATGTAAAGGGCCTCTATGAATCTATATTGCTAAACGTCTTCAGAATAATACTTATATGTGACGGACGAAATGATCTAAAAACCATAAAACGGTGAAAGCAATCCATGGCTATATGTCACTTGACAGAAGAATATTAAGGACATTTTTACCCCGTTTGTACCCCAAAGCCATTTTACTCCACAATGAGAATGTTTAGTCCTCTATTCCTATAGGGTTAGCAGTAAATTTAAGTCACAAATCCAAATACAAAAACATGTTCTAAATCTTATCAAGAAAAAATCTAGAGATTTAATATATTTACTGGGAAATTTCCCTAGCTAAAAGTAACTTCTAAACATAGAATCAATTATGGATGGAGCTATAACAATTGTTGTCAATAATTGGCTAATGTATTGCTGTCAAATAGCAAAAACTTGTTATAGCAGCATTCTAGATTAACTCTATTTGCAGACCGTGCAGACTAAATAAGCAAACAACTATTAATTCATTCATCAACTAGTAACATATGTTACATTTATGCTTTAAAGCAACAGAGCAAAGGATAAGCTGTTTTTCACCCCAAAGCTGCTGAGTTTTCAAAGCAAGGTTACCTGCATAAGTGGCTCCGAGGCTCATTCATGTCACTGTAATGCCTCCGACAGGGAGGTGCTAGGTTTTGAAATCCTAGGATTCTTTAAACTAGCTAGCCAGCTAAATTGAATTCACCTGCTGTCTGGAGAACTCTAGCAGACTGCTGCTCTGGTGGGTAGTTTTCAGAGGTTTTTTTGATCAACAACCAGGCTAATGCCGGAAGAGTGCCCAGTAGGAATGGGTACTACTAGTTACGGGCCACAAACTGTGCACAATCTTTCCCTCATCTTCTTAGTCCTATCTTAATCCCTTACATACACACACTTGCACTTACATGCACATTACATTTCACCATACCACACATGTTGGGAGATGACTTGGGAGCGTAGAGCATGTCCTGGCTGGGGCAATGCCCTATGGTAAGGGATACCTGGTTAGAGAAAACTTCGCAAGCCAACACATAGGTTGGTACTGGATCATGCTAGAGGTAGATCACAGAACCCCACCACCCCACGAAATAAAAGTAAGGCACTACATTTACAGGACTAATGATCTTAGCAGTTGACATGCCCAGAAACACTAAACAATCAAAGCAAGGGGTACCTAAACTTATCAAGTCACAAATTTAAAGAAAATTCTCTTGAAGAATAATTTGTCATGTCCAGTAAAGAGGTTAAAGATGCTTGGATTTCATATAGGATACACAAAGTACAAATTGCTTCCATTGTGATAAGACAGTGGAGTCAAGATTTACTTAAAAGAGGAAGGACTGGCCTCTCTTTGATATAATTTGAATATAGGAGAAGAAAAATGTTGTGCAGCAGTCATTACATAAAATGTTTCTTCCCCCTTTACAAATCAAATCAGGACCTCTGATAAAATTTGTAAAAGCACTGAATAATGATGGGCATACTTTGAGACATTTACTAGAAAAATTTTCAATGATTTTCCCAGAAACAGCTGAGTGGAATTCGAATGATCATGTAGATATAATATTGCAAATTTTACATTAAAAATATTACCTCTATTTGTTGTAACTGAATGTCAATAGACTGGCTTTGTGGGTTCTGAGCAAATTTCTGTAAAGCTGCTCGCATAGCACATGATGCTGCTTCCAATACATCAGGATCTGGTTCTATAATTGGAATTTATACATTGAATAAAATTCACAAAATATATGCATCACATAAACAACAAAAAGGTTTGGAAATCACCTTCATTCTTGACAACACATGTAGCCATATCTAACCACATTTGAAAAAGATTTTCTGGTCCTCCCATATCTTGTATATCCAAGACAGGAATAATGTTGTTCAAGCACGAAAATGCTCTGGACCGAAGTATATCAACTCTGTTCATAAAAAAATGAAATACATGTATCACATTAAGAATTAATATAATGCCAAATTTATAATATTCACTTTTATTTTCATTTTTTTGCGCTGATGTTTGAACAACATTCTGCGTATGATATTTTAGTTGTATCTACACTTGCTTTACTCTGTTAATTCTTTTTTAATTTGTATTTTCACAATGTAAAGGGTATCACCCTAATTTAATTAAATAAATAAATAAATAAAATACTGAATTTAAAAACAAAATTCACAGAACCACTAAAAAGAAAGAAAGTAAAGTCGGATTGTTTTCTTTTATCATAACATAAAATTTAATGTCACTACTGAAATGCATTGTTCTAAAGTGAAAAGAAAAAGAAAAAAAAATTGATATTTCATTAAAATCCATCCCTTCATATAATTTTTAATATTGCAGTTATTTAAATTTATAGATGCTTCACATGCTCAGGAGTTAATATTTCAAGAAGTACATATTATAATGACTACATGCAAATGCATTAGGTCTTATTAACAAACCTGCTCCAACAAATATGAAAGGACAAAAGCCTCACAAATAAAATGTGTTTGTTTTATATTCATCCAATTCATAAATTTGACCTTTCTTTTCAATTATGTTTAATCTTACTCCAAAATAATGTTGCATTAAACTCACTCCTAGCGCATTTTCTTATTGGTGCCAAAGAGATCAACATCATAAACTAGTTGGATAATCTACTATTTAAAATATAATTAATAACAGTTTAGTTTATTATAACTAGGTAAATTATATTTACATTTTATACACCCTAATATATAAAATGTTTATCATATATGCCGTTTACTAACAACCCTTATAAAAACAAACTAACAAAATAAAATACCTATTTAGTATATGCTGACCCCCAGAATGTTCATGTAACAGGGCACGCACATTTTCAGCAGGTGTACGTGTTTTCTCCCAGATTTTTGGAACCAATTGCTTGCTTACTATTACTTCATGTATCTGCAACACAATATAATATTACTCAAATTACTATTTGCCAAAAGTCACCATGTGCAGTCCTTTTGCTGGCATTTTTATTTTACCAAAAACTCATTTATTGTGCATGAAAATTATCTCGATATCTGTCCAGTCCAAGGTTAACGTTTTTAGTATAAAAATACACAATTCCCAAGAACAAAGATCCAAAACATTTTAACTTAAAAAATGGACTACTCAATTTTTTAAATTTCTGGATAATTAGAATTGGAGAACAACAATGAATAGAAACCCAGAAATATGGATCTTGTTCTCATCAAACTAATAGTCTTACATTAACTCGCACTGTATCTGCAGACTGACTGTCAAGCTTTGGTGACAACTTGCTACAATAAATTGCATGATACGGCAAGGATTATAAAAATATTTTTTTTTAATTCACTTATTCATCCATGATTCTTCTGAGTTCATCCTCTAGTATTTGTTAAGTCATAGGGATTCACTCAATAATTGTATCCTCACATATTATCAACTCCACTTGTATAGTGGAGAAGATAAATACATACCTCTGGACTCAGAGACAAAGAAGTGCCAGTAAGGTCTTCTAAATTTGTTTCAGGTTCACAAAGAGTCTCTTCGCAAATATCACCATCACTGCTGGTTGAATTTGAATCAAGATCCATTGCTTCATCATCTCCATCTAAAAAAAGAAAGAAAAAGAAACTCCAACAAATTACACAAGAAAAAAAGAAAGACAAAATGGCACAGAAACTTTCACTGATTGAAACATTACATTACAGAAAGTGATACAGAACACTCACAGGAAGAAGGCTGTTTTAATACAGGCTGTCCAGGGAGGAAACTTGAAAACTTCAAATTAAGCTCTTAATACAATTTTAAGCACATTTTGTATAATAAAATACTTGGATATTTCAAATGACTGAGCCGCAATAAGCACACAATAGTTAGTTTGAAAAATATGCTTTCTAAGCAAAAGTTTGCATAGCAGAAGCATATAAACACTCCAGAAACATGTAAATTATTTATTATTTACAAATTATTTGATCAGAAAGAAAAAAATCAGAAATCAAAAATCAGAAAAAAATTTGAACAGAAATCAAAAAGCATCCAATTTAAACATTCGATTGCTTTTCTATTTCTAAGTTAATTTTTCTTTCTGAACAAATATATTCATTCATTTCATCACACAGTTTTGACCAAGATAAAAAAATAAAAAACCAATGAATAGTGCGATGCAAAGCTTTTATTTAGAAGGAATTTGATTAATATTTTTATTGGCTATTCCACGAAATCAAAACCAATAATGTTTAACTACACATACAAAATGCCCCAATTAGGACGGTGTATCTCAAAATCACTTTTTCTATACAATTTTTCTTATCGCTTCTTTCTACTGGCCAATCATACACTGTGACTCATCTATCTTGGGAGGCAGTATTGTACATCAATCGCTATACCTACTACCTCATACCTGCACATAAATTGGTGAGTAACTCCAAAGCCACTTGTTGGGCTTCTATTAACTGCGCTACTTCTTGTAAACTTGCATTATCACCAGATTCCCCTGGTTCTGTGCTGCTCAGTTCGTTAAGTTTCTTTCTTTGGTCTTGTAATAAAGGAGATACAATGGCATCAAGCACGACTGGACCCAATATATCTGAAGGGTTACTCCTCACCCTCAGCAGAATGCCTGCACAATAATTACATTAACGTCATGTTCAAAGACTTAAATATGCATTAGTATTTCTTCATGAGTACTCAACATTTTCGAGATCATGAATCTAAAATGTATAGTAAGTGCTCACCTGCAGTCATTACACGCAGAAGTAATAATCCAGTGCTATCTCCATTCATCGTCAAGAGATTATTTAAAACTTCTTCTGATTTTTGTAATAAATTACATGCATGAGAATTGTCCTCAACAACAGTGATTAAACATTGCACTGCAAAGACAATCATACTTTTAGCAATGACTATTATTCGTGATACATGAAACAATAGACAGACCCAAAACCGCGGTCATCCTAAAATGTAAACTGTAAAATGTTTTTCAATGACAGATTTATTAAAAAAATAGTCGAATTTTTTACTTTGGTCCAAAAGTTTTCACATTAAAAATACAGCAAGTTTTTCAATTTTGTTGAACCATTCTGATTTTTTAAAATTATTGATCCAAATCTATTAATCACAGAACACTGTACTTCAACCCAAATTATAGCTAAAGATGCTACCTTTCAAAGAATGTTGGCACAAATAATACAATAATTATATATTTAGAAAATTGCAGATATTATTGTCAGTCTAGAAATTATTGTTCATCAGAATAAACTGATCATTAGTAAAAACCAATATATTGAACTCAACATATCATCAGAATGTATTAAAACTATCCACCTTAAAAAAACAAAAAAGAGAGTATTTATTAAATATAAAACATGTAATTCTAATTGTAAATGAAAATTCTGCTCAACTGTAATTTGTAAAAGGGGCAACTAATAACCAATTTATACAGCCAAAAATAAGTAAAAGTTACACTTTTGAAAGTAATATTTCAAGCATCTATAGTTTAATATTTCCTTGCCCAAAATTTTTTGTAGAAGTGCATGTAAACTTGTGGAACAATTTTAAGTCTCTTTTCACAATCTTTCCAAAATATTTATTAAAAACAGTTTACAGATGCATGGGTACATACCAATAGCCAGAGTCACTCGCCAATTTTCCGGTGCTGCACTGATAAACTTCACAAGTATTGGCATTAAGTTCCTATCATTGAAGTATTGAACAGCTGTACTATTCCCTTCACTGCAAATGAAAAGAAAATTATTAATATTTGTTCATATAGTAGATGTTTGAAGTATAATTAGTAGCAAAGGTTAGTAGAAAGAATAGTATGATTTTGTCGCTTGGGTGTCTGTGTGTTTGTCTTGTATGTAACAGAACACATGGACGTGTTAGCTGCAAGGGTGAACGGACATCTTCAAAAGAAACTGGCTAAGCCTTTCTTCCCATTATGCAAGATTTTTACTTATTAAAACAAACCACCTCCTCCTCCATCCTCCCTGCGAAACCGCCAACGGACATTTCATCACGGCAAGGGAAATAATGACTCAAGACACATGACACATCTCTTCTACAATCTCGGTAATAGTTCTGCGGTAATATAATATATAATATTATAGTCTTCGTAACAGTTCTGAACAGTACTAATAGTGAAAAATCACACACCACCCTCTATCTGGTTTCACTGTAACTACGCTTTTGGAAGCTCTTATGACAATCTTAAGCATCTTCACGACGATCCGTCATTAACGGTGGAAACGTGGGCACTGGAAAAACATATACTCGACAACAGGTTCGCAAGTACGCAAGGTGGGGTATCTTCCAGTTTCATACAGCAGTGGTAATCCCTAAAGCATCCATGCCTCGCGAGAAACATTTTATCTAACCGCTGTTCTGGCTTATCCATAATTCAATCGAAAGTATCACGTCGTAGGTCCACCTTCCTCGGGAGGATGTGTCCCGCCGCTGCTGCCATTATTCTAGTTTTTCCAAGCTTTGTCTGTTTCCTTTTCCCTATCATTCATGAACCATTACATCATAAATATGGGACATCCCTGCACTCATACTGCTTTACAGGAGACAGTGCGGAATACACATGATACCCTAAGTGTAGATAGTCTGTACACTGATGCCATTCGTGTTACATACGTAAAATTCTTCATACTTGTGGACGTGGAGCACATTGGAGCTTCCGTTATAGCAAAACGGATATCTCTACAGACGCCACCAATTTCCTCTTTTCCTGACTTGGCTCTCCGGTGTTTGGCATGAGCTTCGTGCATTCATATACGTCATTTTCGTTCACGCATAACCCAACATTGACACACTAAGAGGGCTGCATGAATGTAATTCCACCACCATTCTTAATGTCCAATGTTACCACCTCACTGTCTTTTTTGGATCTATTTTCAAACGGCTTTCTAATTGCATTTCGAGCAGAGTCCACGACAAGCTGAACAACACAGTGTGTTGAACGAGCCTTGCGAAATCCATATTGGCCATCTGAGAGCACTCTTTCTACAGCTTCTTCCAATCTGTTTCTCATGATATGCTCAAGAATCTCGTCTCCACCATCTCGGTCGTGGGTCTCGAGGCCGTCTGGGTCGAGGAAGCTGCAGGTTCGAGATCAGCCTAGGCATGGTTGTACAGATGCGCCAGAAAAACTTACTTATTTGAAAAAATTCCCGCGCTGAGTTGGGTGGTTAGAGGGGCGAGAGGGGGCGTATCTGGAGGTTTCATGTGGGGCCACGAATGTTCGACATGAAACACCCAGATACCTCACATGAAACCTCCAGATACGCCCCCTCTCGCCCCTCTAACCGCCCAACTCAGCGCGGGAATTTTTTCAAATAAGTAAGTTTCTCTGGCGCACCCTGTATTTGTTGCTAAGTGCAAGCGCATAGCAAAGGGAGACACGAGGCTTTGGGGTCCTCCGGTCTTAGGGAACAGAAATCCAAACCTCAAGGCAAGCAGAAGTGCGCTGCGGAGGCGGCGTGATGTAGTAGGTCACGTGAGTCTCGAGTATATATACGTAAGGGAGTGCACAAGGCTAGTGGGTGGGTTCCGGAGACAGTGGAAAACCTCGTGCACATACACAAACTTGCAGCCACGACGGTGCAGCGGCGAGCAGAGCTCGCGAGGCAAGTAACGTGTTGACGAGCCTGTAGAGGACTTTGTGTTCTTGGCTGACTGCGGTCACGTGGGAGCGATGCTGTGTGCGTGTCCCGAGGTGAGGAGACGTTGAGAGCCACGACTCGCACCGATTCTCAATCGGGTAAGATCGCTCCTGCGATCAAGGCAAACTATCAATTGCTACGTCAGTACAGACTTTGTGTCCTAGTGTGACATCCGGTTATGGAATCTTGGCTTTGTGCGAGCTTCAGATGCAAGAGTGGCGAGTGCCACAATTGAAACCGGGATCGCTCCCGCGGTCAGGGGATAGGTCTATCAGAGCTAGGGTGTAAAGTGTAAATGCATTGTAAATATTTGTTGTTTTCCTTGTAAATAAATATTTGTTAATATGAAAGCTCGTGTCTGTGTTCGCTGCATTCATGACGTTACATGAGGAATTGTTTACGTTGCCATATAGCCACGGATCAGCGATGCCGCTTGCCTGACTCAAAGTCGCTCGAGAAGCGCGAGGAGACTTGTCATTGGCAGTATGAGTCCCATTTTTATCAGTTTACTAATGTTTCTCATTTAACCAAATTTACCACCTTTTAATCCGGCTCACAGGTGAAACGCACAAAGTCAAGATTTTCAAGTTTTAAGTTATTTGATTATTGTGTTCCAGATTTTATTAAAATTGAGAGAGCATATTTTTGTTACAAAATCTATATATTATTTTGTGAACTGTACATAACTGCATCTCCCATTACTTTCCTAAGAAATGAGTGTTATTCAAAATTAAGCCCTTGACTTAATGTGTGTCGCTTGTAACAATTTCTATGATTTCTGTATCTTTTCTGCTATAAACGTATTTTCCACATTACCCTTTTTATTTATTACACTTACAGATTACACTATTTCGCATATCATCCTTTTTTAATTACATGTATTACCAAATATATTTACACATATTTGTGTATAGTTCGCTGTTTTTATTACATATAAACCAGAGCCCTAATAATAACCGCAACAAATGCAAGACAACTATTCGTGACACTCCAAAAAACCAATGATTACCAAAGAAATAAGTATAAAGCGTGGAATCTTCCAAGGTGATAGCCTGAACCCTTACTACTGGTTCTGCCTGGTAATGAAGCCTTTGTCGACACTCCTAGAAGAATTCAAATTAGGTTTCGAACTGAGAGGCACTGAGAGATTGTAGCACTGCTCTTAGCATATATGGACGACGTCAAACTTTACTCTGGTACGATGCGTAGCACACACATTCAGATAAAAGCCACTGGAGATTTCTCCATAGACATAAATATGAAATTATGCATTAACAAATGCAAAATACAACAAATACAGAAGGGTAAAGTGACTAGTGAACTCGCATACGAGACTATTAAAAGAGAAACCATCACCGCTCTGGAAACTAATGTTCTCTATAAATGCCTTGGTGTACTGATTGCACATCAAATGAAGGCTATGCTGAAAACTGAGCTTGCCAACCGACTCACGGCAGTATTAAAAACTTTCCTCAACTCTCAGAATCTCACAGCCGCCATCAACTTGAATGCTCCACAAATCACCACCTTCTCGATGGGTATTCTTAAATGTCCACAACAGATCTAGAGGAATTGGAAAGACTTATAATAATTCAAATGACACGCTTCGGTTGCCACCATTGTAAAAGTGGGAAGAGGGTCTCCCTACCTCGGCAGATGAGAGGGCGGGGCATTGTAAAGTTCACGAATCTCCGTGCCAAACAGATAATAGCTACGAGGAATTACTTTGCAAAGAAAGCATATACTTCTCACCTCCGCAAGGTATAATTGCGTAGGCAGTTACACGTCCCTCAATCTCAAACAAGATATGCAAGTTCAACAGTTCTCTTCGCAAGAAGAGGTCAATTCCTGGAAACATCACTCCACGGTGCATATCCTGCTGCGGCAGACAATACAAATGTCGACGACGAAATGTACAAATGCCTCAGTAAAGGACATTTGTACCCTGAGAGCGAAGGATTCATAATAGCAATCCAAGATCAGGCGATTCCCACAAAGAACTACCAAAAATATATCAAAGATCCAGGAGTACCAACTGATGAATGTTGTATGTGTGGTCGAGATCATCAATCCATTCAGCCTATTATCTCAGGCTGTAGTTGTTTAGCTCCCACTGTCTATAAACCAATGCACGATGAAGAGGGACGCATCATCCATTCCAAACTTGTTAAAAAATATAGCCTACCCCAGGTAGTTGTTACACTATACTATCTGTATCATCCAGAAGCTTCACCTGAACATGAAACATACTGGGACCGCAGTATTATAACCAAGAGAGCAATATTGATCACAACAGACCCGATGTTACTCTCTGCGACACATCTGCCAAGAAAGTTTCATGATTGATTTTGCAATCGTCAATACCATCAACATGATGACAACATACCAGGCTAAAATCCACAAATATAGAGAACTACACTAGGATTTAATTAACCTTGCACTTCGCGTAAATCAGCTGTTCACGGAAAAATCGAATGTGACAATAAAAATAATGTTTAAGTGAAATAAATGTGAAGTATGTATGGTGGAAAAACCTCTAAAATGTATTTTCATTCATTTTATAGGTTTCTCACGACAAACATGGAGTTAAAATGTGTATGAATTAATGGAATCTCACATTTTCGCGTAAAACAGTTGAAGCGACGGGTGAAGAGATACGAAAATGAGAGGACTGAGGCTGTTTGGTGATGGGGAGACATCGGGAGGCGATCGTCAGCACGCTGGAGAGCCGTAGGGAGTACTATCAATTTTAGTTTACTAATTCTCGATAATTTTGAATTTAAATAATTAAATAAGAATCTGGATGGTCGTGTTCTATAATGAGGAATGTAACTGAATTAAATTTTATAAACGGAGGTTTTGGAAGGTAAGAAAAAAGACATTCGAGAAGCTATCATAAGTGCGTAACGCATTTGAACATTTGGAAAGAGCACTTATTATAGGCAGATTATAGATAAAACTTGAAAAGATCTTCAAAACAAAAGAACGCGGAATTTATTTACTTATTCAAGTGAGAATATGAATTTGGGTAGATCCAACGATCTAGAATACACTACATAAAGTACC